ACATGTGCAGCTCTCACCTTTATATTCCACACTGGTGAGGTAGCTCAACTTGACAACAACTTGCTATTGATGCCCAAAGTCTGATTTCAAGTCCTGGGAGGTGCAGATTAAACATCCTTTTGCCTCCTCAGACATTCACTACAAACCGGGCCCTTTTTGCGTTTATCACAGCCATGCACGAGTAGTACAACAAACAGCACATGAGCATGTATTTAGTGTTTCTCCATCCAGCCAGAGGCATTAACAGCCTGATTTGCCTCCAGGCTTTTACTTGAATCCTGCGCTCTGTTAGTCTGAAGGTTATCTGTCGCTGCCTTGTCCTGCTGAAGTCTGGTGTAAAGTAGATCACTATTAGAGATTATGTGATTGATGAGATGGACGATGCAAAATGAAAACACAAGGCTTTACTTTAAAGCATTGTGTTGAGAGAGGTAGGGTGCTTGACCTGCTTTATGTGTGACCACCCATAAATTATTTTTCTTTCTTTTTTTTTTTTTTTTACATAAACGCATGCCTTTCTCATGTTGCAATTTCACAGTATACAAAAACCTTTTTAATTTCAGCAAAGCATTAGTGTGTGCTTTTTCCCTTGAAAGACCCTTTCTTCTCCACCACAGGTTTATCTCTGCTTTAGAAGCAGAATAAATGCTATTCTGTAAATAAAATGGTGGCTGAAGTGAAATTAGGCAGATTTACCCTCTGCATCTGCATCTTTAAAAATAGCCCATCATTTTTATTCAGCCACTGCTAAATGTTAATGTATTGTATAGCTTGAGGTTCAAAATGAATTCACACTGTGCGGTTTGGGAAAGAGTAGACATTATTGTGAGACCTTATCTTTTTGTTTCCATCCCTTCACCGCCCTACATTCCAAACAAAAAGAGATATTCCTATTGAGGAAACGTGTTTGGTAGCATGATGTTCACACTGTGACAAGGCCATCCAGACGAGCCCCAGCTGCACCGAGGCAAACCTACCCTGTGAAAGAGCTCAACACTGGCAGCTCTGTCACCTCCAGAAAGGCTGACAAGTGGAGTAAGGTGGATTTACTGAGCCAATATTAGTCCTCATGTCATAGTCAAATAATATGACAACAAACTAAAATATGTTGAAAGCAAAAACCACTTTTATTTTCAGAAGATTTAGGCCTCAATAAACAGTAATCTATCATAACAGCAAGGTGTGTATGATGTTATTTATAAAAAAAAAAAAATCCCTTAAAATAACGATTGCAGGTGTTAATATACATGCGTGTTGATGTGTTCACAAGGACATACATAGACAGACATGCAGTCAGCCCAAAATTCAACAGTTAAGAGTGATTCTCAGGATTCTCAGAATATGTTTTATATATTAAAGGGATAACCAGCTTTGTTTCACAACAAACGAACTGTGGTGAAGTCCCCTCCTTCTTTCCAGAGGATTATTTGGCAGCTTGAGTTCGCAAATGCACCATCCGAATGATTTTTGCTGGCTCTAAATGTACTTCCTCATTTTTAAACGCCTGCCACCACGGACACAAAGTTTATAAGTATAACTGTAATTAACTGTAATACAAGATAATTTGTTACCAGCCCTCCACCATATTGTTTTTTGGACTAGCTGGTCAAAACCAACTCACATTACCACCCACCAGCAGGAGCATTTAATGCTCCGGTGTGGTAAAGTGCCTTCTGGTAGTTATGGGTTTTCTACCTGTTGAGCAAAGCGAATGCCAGTGTCCTTTTCCTCTAGTTATGTAGCACCCATTTCAAAAGTATTTGCATCTTCTTCTGCATAGACAGCCCAGTTTTATGAAAAGACATCTTCCCAGCAGTGAAATACTTCTTACAGAACAAGTTCAAATTCAGTTTTCAGTACCTAACCCTACCTCTGATATGATGGGTATTTCTCTCTAGTCCCAGCTCTTAACCATGTTTATTTTTGTTCTTATATCAAATGTAAGAACAGACAGTCAAATCCAATGTGGGATGATTTTACCACCCACGGTGGGAAGTAGAGTTGCCAGGTGTTGCCAAATACCAAATAATTCAACATTCCAGTATAATCATATTTTTTGGGGGGGGGAATTATTGTACACTAATGCAAATTTTGACCACCCAGAACTGAGTTTGTAATGTATGTGAATTTCTACCACAGCACTGTCAACTGTTCTTCAATTATTTCAAGCAAAAATGAAAACAACTGTCAGGTTTCCAGCTTCTCATTTATGAGGATTTGCTGGGCAAATCCTAAACTGGTCAGGCAGTCTTAACCTGACAGAATCTGTCACTGGAAACTATTTGGAAAGGGGCAGGCACTTAAAAAGTACTTGGCAGGTGACTGGATGACCCAGCTCTCTATTGCTGTCGTCATCACTGAAGAGCGTCAACACCTTTTCCAATAAAGAATACTTCACTTATCTTTCAGTTAGAGCCGGATTAATATGGGCCTATCAAAGGTATATTTGTATTGGCATATATAGTTGTCTGCAATATGTGCAAAGCAAAGATAAGCCAGGTCTCTAGCAAATTCAGCCATTTGTTCATTTGCTCTCTAAAAAAGTTAGTATGAACATAGCCTTCTAAGAACTTTTGCATGGTCATATTGGTGAACAATCCACAAGGAAAAGATCTATTGTAACTCCAGCTCAAAAATTTAATATATATTACTGCCATATCAACTATTGGTGAATTTTTCCCCTCTAAATTTGGTCTAGTGTCTATGCTAAAGAGCAATCATTGTTGTTTTGAACGAACAGTCACTTTTCTGTGTCATCACACACACCTTAACCGTGCTGTAGCTGCCAGTTGCTCCTCACAGGATGTTAATAAGTGGTCAGACACAAAGACATTACTCGAAGCCTGTCAAGACGGATTTTCATGTGATCTCGATATCCTGTGATTCTCGAGTAATATCGCGAGAATCCAGCTGCCATGCAAGGTGAGCTACCTTTTGGTTTTGGGCTATTGGTTGGACAAAACAGCATTTGAAGATGTCACTGTTGGCTTCAGGAAATATTTATGGCAATTTTTCTTTTCTGGTATTCAAATGATTGATTAATTGCGACAATACAAGACAATTAATCAATAATTAAAAACCACCAGTTGCAGCCCCAGACCGAACCAAACAAAACTGCCCCAGTGAGTAAGCAGCTTAATTTTGGGCCACAAAACGCCTTCAGCATTGTTAGCTTCTATTAGTCCTGTTAGTGTTGTTAGCGGTGTCAACACAGCTAGTGGTGCTAACAGAGTTAACCACACTAAAGAGGTTTTGCAGCTCAAAAAGAAGCCACTTATTCACCAAGGCTATATGGGAGGAGTCTGGTGGGTGGGCACAGCGTTATTAGCGGAAATGACAGAATGAGCAGCACCACTAGCTTGCTCCCATCAGACCATTTCCCCACCTCTAAATGGATAGTGCTTTAAAATGTGGCACTACAGCTAGTTGAGTCAGTGTAGCACTGGACTAAAAGGAAAGGCCTTTTGTATTTCACGATTTTTTGTTTTTTGTTTTTCTTAAAAATCAACCGATTAGCTACTGGCTAATGGTGTCGGGCTACTGAACGCAAACATTAGCCAAAACTGACATCCCCACTATAGGAATATGACAGCAACGACCACTGTGTACAGGGCTGTAGTTGTCGCTGGAACATTTCCATGCTTTCATCAGCGGTATGCAGTCTCCACCCTCGCAGACTTCATGTGATGACAGTGAACTCGTCACAGTGCATCCAACTGAAGTCCATGGGGGCTAAGTATGCCATCTCTCCACAAGTCTGAAGGGTGGACAATTGAATTCAATCTCTACGTGTCCACCACTTTTTTCTGACTTTTCCGCCTGTCTTAGTCACCTGACTCTCACGTCCAGCCTTTCCCGCCATTCCCATTATCTGACCTTTCCCACCCACCTGCTCACCTGTTCCTACTTTCCCTCATCAGTTCTGTAGAACATAAACAACCCCTGTTTTCCCCAGTCAGTGTCCAGATTGTCTGGGTTGTGTGTAAGATGGTTGGCAGCACATTTAGTTTTGGGTGTGTTTGAAAGAAAAAGTCAAATCAAATTGTCCGTCAGCAGCCTTAATCCAGACATGTCAGTATGGGAGCTAGCCGTCATGTACCATTTTCAAATTTGGAGCCCTTCTCACAAGGACTCTCTGTTGCCTGGTGCAGGATGGACACCCTGGGCTCTCTTCCATTCCCCTCTTAGCTTCCCCTTTTCCAGATGAGCGGCTGACCGCCTGCCTTTATCCCACCGGCTGGTATTCCCTCAATGCTCCACATGTCTGCAAGCTTTCAGCCTGCTGAAAAAAGTCAGTTGGCGGAGGGGGGGGAAACCCATGGCATAAAAGAGCGGAGAGTGATGTCAGAGCTGCCTGGACTCATTTCAGCCGGACCCCTGGCAGGAGCATGAACGCCGTGCTGTGGTGTGTGGACATTCTCCAGAGCTGCTCTTAAAAACTGTATCCCTGTGCAGCGTTTTTTTTTTCCTCCCCCCATTCAGGTCCTTATATGTTTTCAAATTTTCCAGGGTTTTCTCAAAATGCAGCAGCAATAGCTGTCCACCTATGCTGGAAAGTGAGACCTGAATGGGGAAACTGTGTTTTAAAAATATGAAGTAACCCCCTCCGCCCCCTTTTCCCGGTCAAATTAAAACACCAACCACTCACCCTGCCCCTCTACCTCTCACCGCTCTGCCAGCTGTGCAGCCCGAGATCGCTGCCAAAAGAAACACAAGCTTACGTCAACTTCCAAATAAGGAGCTGCTACTTCACTTTGACCTGAAAGAGAGACACTTGGGGGGGGTGTATGAAAGAGGTGGAGATAGACAAGGAGAAAGTGTCCCCTCCTCCTCATTCATACGCATAATATACTCAGCTACCTGTTTGTCAGCCCAGTGCACGTAGAGCGGAGACTCGATTACCCCTCTCTCCTCACCGTCACTCTCATTCATCCTTTCTGTCTCTCTCTCTCTCCTTCCCTTCACCTCCCTCTGGCTCTCTCCGCTCTCCTCGTTTCCAGTCATTCACAATCGGAGGACAACACCACCTGCTACCAGGTAAAAAAGCCATTCATATGCTTTCTGTCATCTGCAGTGATTTTGACGCGTGTGTGGTGGTGTGAGTGACATGACGTGAGGGCTGGGGGATTTTCTCCATTCAGGTCTTTGTTATTGCAAAAGGCTGTTCTATCAATGAGCCGGTGAGAGGTGTGGAAAAGCAAGAATCATTTGTGGAATCAGAGCAAACGGAGACATTTGAGATGAGATGAATATTTTTGCCGTTTTAAACATATGCAGACAGTGCAGCTTCTGCAGTGAGGGTGTTTGCGTGTGTGTGTGTGTGTGTGTGTGTGTGTGTGTGTGTCTGTGTGTGAATGAAGGAGAGGGAGAGTGCATATAGTGAGTGGTCCGTGGGCTGTGCATGTATTAAAGCTCACAGCTCAGACTGGGAGTGAATGAGCTCCCTGTGTTGTGCATCCAACCTCCTATGCTTGGCATGTCCCCCTGTGGACTGGGGAGCACTCTCGAGGTGCACGTACACACACGCACACAGAGGAACGGCTGTGTGTGCACTGGATCCCTGAGGGCTCTCCTCCGTCCCCGGAGAGCGCCGCTATCAGGCTGCTGATGAAGCTGCGCCTTCTGACTCGACGGCATTGCTAAAGCTCAGCTGACATTGTGTTGGAAACAACAACAGATGAGGGCATGTGTTGCTTGAGTCTGCAAGATGAAGTTCATGTTGGCTTCTGTTTGCGTTGCGTTTCATCATAATATTGTCAATGAAATTCCTAATTTTTGCCTCAACATGCGGATGCTTTGAGGGTGATTTTTTTTTTTTTTTTTTTTTATTGGAAACTAATTTTAGAAACCACTTATTAAAGGTCCAGTTTGTAGGATTTTAGACCATCTTTTGGCAGAAATTGTATATAATATTCATAACTATGTTTTCCTTAGTGTGTAATCATGAAAATAAGAATTGTTGGGTTTTCATTACCTTAGTATGAGCTGTTTATATATACATACGGAGTGGCTCCTCTTCCACAAAGTACACCATGCTGTTTTAGAGTAGCCCACATGGTGAAACCAAACACTGGCTTTAGATAGTCCTGTTAGCATTTTTACGTTTGCACATCGCCAACACTTTGCACACAGAAGTTTCAGTTCTACAATCTCACCTCTAATTCCTATGAAATCATACACACCAGACCTTTGAGTGACCTATAATTAAGCCAGTATCCATATCCAGTATTTGCCACTGTCGCAAAAACAATCAGATCGCTTTTTATTTTCCTTAGAGCCTAGCAATCTTCCACAGTTACTTAAGTTGTTTCACCATCTGCCATTTTCGTGACTCGAGAAAGTAACTGCAAAGAACTTACTTTCATACTGTGTGGTAAATGAGAGTAGCCACTGATAGCCAGTGCGGAAAACAAAAGTGCTGTCCTCGTCCTGTTTTAGTTTCACAGTGGTTTCTTTGTGTCAGGGCTGCACTGGTTATCAAAATCGCAATACCAAAATATGTCACAACATATCATTATGTTAATTTTCTGGCCGACAAATCATGCGTAAGGGATCAAGCTTGTTTGGTACAGACCTCAGCAAAAATCACATCGTCATCACTTTTACATTTTTTTTTTTCAGTGACCATTACATTCCGGTATAATTCCCACTAAAATCGCGATACATATCAATATCACATATCAATTTTTTGCATATTGTGCAGCCCTACTTTGTGCCACAAATCAAGTCTTCATTTCCCACGAGATCATACGTGGTGGCAGACTGAATTGCATATTAAAAGAAAGGCTAATAGGAAACCAGTCTTAACAAAGATGGTGTCATTATTCTGTAGCTATTGCATTATGCAATCAACATGTACTTCATAATAATAAGTTAAAGCACAAAACTAGTCTATTTCCACTTTAAGATGTTGCCTTTTTAGGTAAAGCTTAACAATAGAAAGGTTTAAAATTGTATTTTGTTCAGTTGTTTGAAATAATGTAGCTTATTTTTTCATGGATACTGGTCCAATGGTCTTTGTCATCCCCCGTGTGTGCATTTCCCTTTCTGGTTCCTCCTGACAGAATGGAGGAGTAGCAGTGTAGTACGAATTTAAGACTCCCAAAGTATTGATTTTTTTTCCTCCAAAAAGACCGTAGCTTCGAGGAGGGAGGCACCTTCGCCTGCCTCGCTCTCTCCCTCTCTCTGTAGTCAGTGAGGATGCTGGAAGATAAATTTAGCCCTCCAGCTCTCCTTCCATCTGCTACCACATGGTTTAGGGCCGTTACCATAGGAACCACCGCTGGGTGCCCATTAGTGTGAGAGGAGGAAATTGACAAGATTTTTAAAAAGCCATTTATACAATATTTTCTTTCTGTGTGGTGTGTGAATGGATGCAGCATTTCACAAATTTATATGAGTTGTTTTTTTTTGTTTTGTTTTGTTTTTTTAACTCAGCTTGAGGTGTTGTGTTTCAGTACCTGCAGATTTTTAGCTCACTCTGCAGATTGTAACTGTAACTGCATCCCAACACTGTAAATACATCAGAAAATTACTTCTAAATTGTGTAGGTTATACAGATTTTTGGGATATGCATTAATTTATATTGCACAAATCACTTATATCACTGCCTAATGCCTTATGGAGAACCAATCAACTTTCCCCTCACTGTACGCTCTATAGGCTGTGATGGGCTGTTGTTCATGGCAGACATTTGCAGGAAAAGCCCAGGCATGATTAGTAGCAATAATGATGGCTGCATTACATTGAGGGGTGCCAGTTTCATGAACCTGGTATTGTTCACACTGACTCACTGGTGTGACTTACTGGAACACATAAACAACACAAAGCCATTAATTGTATATGTTGTGTCAGAATGTCTGCTGAGAAAAGACCTATTGTTTTTTTGGAAAGGATGTTGTGCTCCACCCACTTGGCTTTGCACTCTTAGATAGATATCGTCTTTTTATTTCATGCATTCTTCATTCTTGCCCAAACCTGGTGCATACATTATCCACAATGCAGCTTGACTGCTGACAGTGTGGGCAAAGATTTGTGTGTGTTATGCTAGTTGCAGCTAATGTAATGTAGCTCTGGGCTGCTAGTCTCAAGTACAAATGAGCGGACTATGGAGGTTTGGTAAGCTCACTTCTTTCTAACACCACACCCCAATTTTTGAATTTTCGATCTTTTAATCCTCAGACCCAACTGACGCTTACTCGAGTGACTCATTTTACAGCTTGAGAGGCAAGTTATCACGTTTTGTGCAACTCCTTCGAGAGCCACAAAAGAATTGACACGACTTTTTTTTTTTCATGTGCAGCTTAGGGATGTTAATTTTGCTTTCGATAGCTGGACACCTATTAAAAGGTAACTCGCTGGTTAATTTTAAAGAAAAACGAAATACAAAATAATGTAAAATACAACAGGCCTTTCCTTTAAGTCCAGCACCCCATTAACCCAGTGAGCACTAGTGCTGCATTTTGAAGTGCCTTACTGGTTAGCTACATTAGCCTTGGCCGTTCTACACTTCACATCACCTGGGTTGGGTAGGAGCTACCTAGCGATACCACTCATTCAGTGATTACCATTATTAACAGTGTGTCCCGGTGGCAGGATGCCGTTGTTGCGGAAATGTGTTGGCCACCCTTTGGTTTTTCCCCCATGTAATACTGTTGAGTAAGCAATGTCATTTTGAGCCACTTAAACGCCTTTAGCATTGTTAACTATGTTAGCACCACTAGCCACACTGACACTGCCAACTGTAATAACACAGCTAACAGTAGCTATGTTTCCATCCAAAAGTGATTTGAATCATTGGGAAATGCGCATTAAAAGAAATATGAATCCTGTGTGTTTCCATTAAATGTATGGACTTTGGTGAAAACTACGAACTCACGCGAGTTTTCCGCAGAACCGGAAACAAAACAAGTCTCGCATTCTTCTTCCTCTACATTTTCTGGCGGTTGGCAACCAGCTTGTAAATGCATTACCGCCTTCCCGACCCGGAGTGTGGATATCACCATGGAGAGAGGTGCGCTACGTCAGACTTAATTCGAACATAACTGTTTCCATCCCCCATTTTGCAAATCAACATTTTTTCGAATCAACCAAAACCCGGCTAAAGTGAGCGTATTTTAGTTTGTGCGAATCAGGGGATTTTAATTCGAATTTTGGGAGTTTCCATCATAATTTTCCAATGCGATACTTCTAGATGCGCATCTAAACAGGCTGATGGAAACATGGCTAGTGATAACATAGTAAACAATGCTAAAGGGGGTTTGCGGCTCAAAATTGAGCCACCTTCTTACTGGGCTGGCCTGGGGGAGATTGGGGGGGGCATGATGCTTACATAGCCACACTGTTGGATCCAGACGACATTAGCAGCGCCGAATGAGCAATGTCGCTAGCTTGCTCCCCCAAGACCAGGTTGATGTGCTGTGCACTGAACTGAACAATAGCAAAATTAACCTTTAGACAAATATGTGTAACCACTCAAAAATACTGGTGGTTAAAATACATCCCTAGTGCAGCTCGAATTTCTATTTTAAGGGGTGTGAAGTTCAGGGTAAATGAGTTGTCTGGACACAGTTCTCAACATGGAGGTGGCTGAGCTGGTGGCTAGCAGCTAATGGTGCTAACTCCATAAACAATGCTAAGTAACTAACAGCACCGAGAGGGGTAACGCTGTTAATCAGGAGCAAACTGCAGAGAGTACTACTCTTCTGCGACAATGATGTCCCAATATCAACGGTAACCGCCATATGAACGCAGTATAAAGAGGTGGCAATTACCCAGCCAGAGGGATCCACATGTGCGCTAAGATTAACAACTGGCCCGGCTTACCACAACAAACCACAGAGAAGATAGGATTACAACACACACAGGGATAGCATGACTTCATTTTCTGCTTAGGATGCCATTACTTCACTAAATCTCTCCAGAGCAAATAGTGGTTTGCTGCTATATTAATGCGCTACATGTGGCATACGGAAGCTTTAAGGAGAGATATATTGGTTTTTGATAGACTGTTGTGATAGAAGGATGTTGGTTTTCAGTTCTTAGTAAATATATAGCATTTTGCCCTAACAAACATCTGTCTGACTTCGGCTCTGAAAACATTACATCCAGATGTGTGTTTTCTAGCAGAGCCTTGCAACAGTTCACCTAGAGAGAATCACTGAGGCTGACAGCCAAAGAGAGGGGGAAAACAGAATCCGTGTGGAGAGAAGGGTTGAAGAGAAAAACTTGCCCGCCAGGTTCATTAACACCCTGAAAGGTGCAAATGAACAGTCTTAAATTGACTGAAGAACAAGTACGACACCTGCAAGTGTAAATGAGCAGATGCATTGCGTGATTTAAAAAATGTCAGTCGGTTTAAGGTGCTAGCTCTGTACTGCAAGTGCTCCATCTGAAATTTATTTCACTCCAGTCATTGTCACCCTCATGCAGAGTGTGCGGGGGCTCTGAACGTCTCACAGTCTGAACTCTGAGGCGTTATTTTCAGTGAGACGACTGAGTCTCTGACTCTCCTCCAAAAGCTCTTAGTCCAGTTACACTACCTGTCTGACCTACATTTAACGCTTCCTAGTCTAAATTCAAGACATTTAGGTGTCTGAATGGTCCTCAGCAAAGTACAGAGATAATATACCTTTATAATAAACCTGTTTTTTGATGTGCAGAAAAGTAATGTTGGTTTTATAGTCATCCAAGACTGGCATGTATACTCTTCCCACAAGTTAAACCAAAGATGGTTATCAACCTGTTATCAGTAATTTGGACGGAATCCAGCAGCTTTGCCGTCTTCCACCAGAACGTGGGTGTAGAAACCAGCTGGTCAGTGCGTGGGATGCCTTGTTTACTGTTTCAGTATGCTGGCACAAAAAAACATTGGGAGTTCTCTTCAGTGCCTCCACTGAGTCACCTTGTGTATGTACTCACAGCTAACAGCCATCATTCCTTCATTTGGCTTGGCTTTTTTTTTTTTTTAAGTATTTAAAATCACAGCTAAAACGACCTATGCGATGCGCTGTAAAGTAATGAAGCAACCATCCACTTAATAATTTAATGTGGCAGCACTGTGCTGCAGCACTGTCTGATGATCATCATTTTGAAGGAAGTGTGGTCTGATATGTGAGGACACAACATGTCAAACATGCGGCATTAATTAGAGCATTCTGTGACACATTGCCAGGTTCACATGCCACAGTCTTTCACTTAATTCCAGTGTAATTAATTATGGAAAGAAAATTTAATGCAAAGCAATTTCATTAAGACCAAAAAAGAAAAAGGTGCTTTTATGACAACAAATTTTAATGTGAGTAACTCCCCCCTACCTTGTTTCTCCTTCTGAAAATGACAAACTCTTCATGGGGCATGTTTTTTTTTTTCTTGCTTTGACTCATTTTACTAGAGTGGGTGGGATATCTGAAGCAGCCCAACAGAAAAATATTGTGGTCCACAGCTCTGAAATAACAATGCACGGTTGATTAAAAATCATTGAACACCTCGACAGTTTCAGATTATGCTGTCATTGAAATGTTCCTGTCACAGTCATTGGACATAGTGCCGCTCTCTGGGAATGTTAGCAGAATCATCATTTCTGTGTGCTGCATGCTGATATATTTTTATACAAAAATATTACATAAACCATTCTAATTCAACAGCATTCAGCAGCCGCGGGAAAGTGAAAGCTGAATGTTATGACACATACAGCGATTATGTAACACATGAAACATAAATATCTATATTTGGCAAGTGGAGGGTCGGAGGTCATCTGTGTTGAATTGTATGCACTATTTTATATAATGAGTTGTTTGTCTTCACAGATCTTCATGTTGAGAAGACAGAAGAATCATATACTGAGCTGAGTCAACTGAGCGTCAGACTGTGTGGCAGCAAGGCTGGCTGAGTGCTTCATGATGGGATACTTTAGGTCAGCGTTGCACAGGACTTCCTCCACAGCACATGACATATCACAGCTGAATTCTTTGATGCCGCCATTTGACATTTGATGGCATCATTTTGCTTTCAAGCAATAAAGTTTAAGCAAAACAAGTGAAAATGATGAAGCCAACTAAAGTGGATATAATTTGATAGAATTCACTTACATTAAACCCTTTATTCAGTTAATGATTTGGCTTGAACTCTGTAGCCTGGCACAGGCAGACGCATCCCACGTGTCTACCTGAGGCTGTCCTTCCATTTTATGGAGGCCTTGCATAGTCGCCTGACGACTGGGGAGCAGTCCGGAGGTCAAGAACATTGTCAACCAGAGTCACCTCACCGAGGCCCGCAGCCTAAGTCTCCCTCCCAGCCCCGTCGGCAACAGCAAACTGGCTCACCGAAGCCCCATGGCACACAACAGCAACCCAAACAGTCCAGAAGACAGCATCCTGAACGTAAACGTCTCAGGCACCAGCGGCAGAGCATTGACTCAGATACAGCGCTCGAACAGAAACATGAAACCGCAACCACAGTTTCGAGTTTGTCACCAGGAGCCCCACCTTCCTCAGCAGGTGGCCCCACCCAGTCTAAACCAGAATCCCAGGAGGGCACCCCAAAACAGAAACGGGAGCGTAAGCCTCAGAGACCGGGCAAATATGTCTGCACTTACTGTGGCCGCGCCTGTGCAAAGCCCAGTGTCCTGCAGAAACATATTCGCTCCCACACAGGTGAAAGACCTTATCCCTGCGCCCCATGTGGCTTCTCTTTTAAGACCAAGAGTAACTTGTACAAACACCGCAAATCACACACCCACAGGGTGAAGGCAGGTCTGGCTTTAGGAGAGCCGAGATCTTTAGAGGAGCAAGTCACTGAGTCAGAAGATGAAACCAGACAGCAATCATCAGCATCTTCCCTTACAGAAAGACAAGGCAGTGTAGCCTTAATCAAGAGTCACGAAACAGACAGGGCCAAAGACTGCACTGGAGGAAACGATGACTCCTACGCAGTTAAAAAGAGACTGGCCTTGCGTCTGAGTCGAGGAAAACATGGTCCTCGAGACTTGTCTGATGAAAAGACCTCATCTCTAATTTTAGGGAGTAAAGGCAGTACAGAATCAGGCTATTTCTCTCGCTCTGAAAGTACAGAGCAGTCACAGGACAGCCCCCCGAACACAAGTGCCAAAAGCTATGCAGAGATCATCCTCGGCAAGTATGGGCGTCTCGGACACCTACAGAGGATGTCTCGACACCATAACCAGCAGCCCTCTGGTCAGGAGGACAAAAGCATCCCATTCACAGTCCCCAAGAAGCAGGTCATCGACCATATCACCAAACTTATCACTATCAATGAAGCAGTGGTGGACACCAGTAAAATTGACAGTGTAAAGCCAAGGAGATTCTCACTCTCCAGGAAAAATAGTTCAGAGTCTCAAAAGAGTTCATCTATGAAAGAAACGCTTATTCACAGCCCCAAAGCCGGAGATCTGGGCTACAAAAACAGTGGCTCCATCACCATGGGAGTTCCATGTGAAAAATTTCACCATCCATCCTTAAATGTGGAGCAGCCAGCTGGCCAAACATCCACTGCCCCTTTGGTGAGAAGTCACTCAATGCCGTCTGCAGCTAGTTCATTTGACACTTCCAGTGGCGGCCTCAGTAAATTTCGCTTAACTCAGTCCTTTGATGAACGAAAGCCTTCTGAAACGCAGGCCCGTCGTTTTGGGATGCTAAGACGGCAGCCAGCTATTGAAATCCCACTTGGTGCCGAACTCACAGAAGAGGAACATGAGGGTTCCCATTCACTTTACCCTGACAGCGTTACCACCGTGCCTGACCCCAAACAAAGCCAACCGCAGCCATATGAGTGTGAGGCATGTGGTACTGGATGCAAAGATTGGGAAGGTTATAAGAAACACAAGCAAAGTCTGTGCCTAGCACATCATCCCAGAAATGAGGTGGTAATTAGTCAAACAGGGTGCTCACAGCTAATTAACCACGCAGTCAGAGCAGGAGCTTCAGCAATGCGTAAAAGAAGGAAAGAAGAGAGTTTTGAATTTGATGACCCCTCTTCTCCTTCATTACCCTCTCCTGCCCTCTTATCAGGACAGTGTAAAGATGAAAGCAGTGTCGTTTATGAGGGCCCCAGAAGACCGACACTACAGACCTGTTCAGTAATTCAACATACTAGTTCATTTGAAAAACAAGAATCTTTATGCAATGAGAGTCAAGGCACTGAGGCGACAAAAACCTCTCCACCTCATGAAGAATATCAACTAGTGCCTCAGAAACAACCCCAACAGTCGACAAAACTAACAACTCGAAAGCTGGTCCGTCAACACAGTGTGCAGGTTCCAGAAATACTGGTCACAGAGGACTCCAACATGAGCACGACAACCTCAATAGAGTCAATATCCACCGCCAAACATTCAGAGAAACCTGATGAGTTTCAGTGGCCACAGAGAAGCCCTTCTCTGGCCCAACTCCCCATTGAAAAGCTTCCTCCAAAGAAGAAGCGCTTGCGTCTAGCCGAGGTAGCCCAGTCCTCTGGGGAATCCAGTTTTGATTCTGTATCCCTGCCCCGCAGCCCTAGTCAGGACAGTAGCGCATCTTACGCATCCAGTCGCTCCACATCCTTTGAAGAGTCCAACAGACCAGACATGGAGATAGCAGGATCAACACCACTGAGGAGATCAAGAGCTCCTCACATGTTGACGGTGCCTGGGGTGCATCAGCACAGAGAGATGAGGCGCTCAGCATCTGAACAGGCGCCTCATGACCCACAACCAAGCGTCCTATTGGCTGAGACCCGCAGTAAGTCTTTTGACTACAGTTGCCTGTCCCCAGAGCGCACTGCAGTTGGCTGGAGGGAAAGAAGAAAATGTCTCCTTATGAGACACACCGCTATAAAAGATCCAGATGAAGAGGAAGAGGAGCGACAGTGTACCATACCGAGACGTAGTCCCGAACATGTCAGCTCCACCACATCTTCTCAAGCAAGCCCGACTTCTGTGTACTGCAGCAGGTCCCCTGCTTCTCCTTCATCAGGTGACATGGTCTTGCGTAATCCAGTGAGATTACAGTGCAAAGAGATCTTTTCTCAGTGGAAACTCAGTCAAAATATTCAGTTAACAGGCAGCACAGAAGCCACATCCGTAGATCCTGTAAAAGAGGAGGCCTCACATACAGAGCAGCCGCCTTCTCAGGCATCACAGCCCTATCCTACACACGGACCATCAGGGGCAGCCAGAGCTCACTACCTCCCCATGTCTACAGGGCTGAAGCTAGAGATTCCCTTACTGCATGATGAATATCCAGAGGTTCGAGTGAGTCACTCCCACATCCAGCACTCTGTCCCTCACATCACTTCCAGTCTGGAATTACTGAGGCCAGCCACATCTCCAGCAGTAGCAGTGCGCCTCCAAACAGACACCCTCACCCTAGCATGTGCCATATACACCACATTCTCCCAGTCCACCTCCCCCAGGCCCCAGGAGGCAGTCGATGCTGTGTCACACAATATAAGTATCCCAACAGCTGATTACAGAAACCATAGGAGCATGGGTCCAGACTATCAGTCGTGGTCTGACGATGGCCTGAGGATATCAGGCTCAGGGGGCAACAAGCGCATGCTCTCCCCTTCAAACAGCATAGAGCTCCTGCCTGAGTCACAGCAGCAGCAGAAACGAGTCAAAGAGGAAGGGGAGAGGGAGGTGGGATGTGTTGACAAGGCATCAGTGGACCCATGCAATCAGGAACTCAAAAGGGAGACTCAGTCATGTCTACCCAGTGTTTGTTCTCCCATCACACATGTTGGACCATCATACCCCAGTCTGCTGCCCAGCACCTGTAATAGCTGGTGCTATTTGAACTACATTAAACCAAACCCTTCTACTCTGGACGAACAGAAGCCCTCAGTGTATTCATCGTGGTCCACGAGCGGCTATGACCCCAACCCACCTGGCCTCTCAAGCAAGACAGCTCTCTCTCTGCTGCACTGCAAGCAGAGGCTCAGTCCCTCCATCTACACTATATCCCCCATGACAGTCAGGACAACTGAGTCGATGGAGCACGAGGACGAAAAAAGACCATGCTCCACTGAGGTAATTACAGCACTAACCACTAATTACAATTCAATCTATATAAAAATGTACACGAGAATTTCCAGGAATTTCACAATTATTATACCAATCAAAATGTAAATGGATGTGGACATCTGAAAGAGGGTAGATGATCTGCAGTAAAGGATGACAGGCATATTTGAAACCAAGATACAGCATTTAGATGATTGGTGCCCAAGGTTAAGTTATTCTATAGACCCTGAGGCTGGGTTCCACCAAAAAGGATTGGTTTAATTTAAGATTAGCTGTAATCAGAGTTTAACAAAACTAGATTTTAAATTGAGTAGATCCAGGTTTCCAGTCCAGGTCACAATGTTTGTTTACAATAACTTCCGAGTAGAAAATCCCCGAGTCATCAGTGTTGGAGAGTAACATTAAATGAAATGAGGTAATTAAATTACAAAATAAATTTAATTGTAATCAGTTACAGTTACTTCATCGAGCAGAAATCTCTTCTTTTGGCATGTTTAGGACAACGCAGATCAGCAAAGCCATTTGAACAAATTCGAGTGCTTTTGCACTGATGTTGCTAGAACTTTTCACATTCATTGCCCAATTTAAAACATTCGTTATAAAAGTATTCAAAAACTAATCACGTTACATTACTTTGAAGCAATTAAAATAGTATATTACTTATTCCATTTTTAACAGAGTAACTACTAATCTGTAACCAATTGTATTTCAAAAGTAACCTTCCTTACACTGCGTGTCACGTACACAAAATTAAAAGGTGCTGGGCAAAAGCCATCTCAACTGGTTTGTCTTTAGCTACCTAAAAAGGCCCACTTTAAAATCACTATCTATATAAGTGTAAGCTATATTTAAAGTATTTAAAGTATATTAAAGTATAGACGGTAAGGTAAAGTACCCCTTCACCTTGCCAACAAACAGCCCTTCCTGATGGGGAACTAAAGCCGTTATCTCAAAGACACCAGACTTCATTAAGGTTTAAGGTGCGAGGTAATGTGGAGAAAATATTCTAAGTATAGCATACACTTAAACAGATATTGATTTGTTCTTAGGTGAGGGTTTTTAGGTGGCCTCTGTCCACAGCAGTACGTTGCTTAGATTTCATCAATGTTAGCAAAGCAACATAGCACCTAAAATAAGCACAGCAGAAACATCAGCAGGTCGGACGACCGTGTTTAACTATATATCTGTAAATGCTACAGTTACAGTGAAAATGACAGATGAAATGAACAAGTTAGCCAATGTCACATATCTCTGAAATTAAATTGCCAGTTGTCTACCCGGAAGTGATGTTAGCATCACAGTGATTCGGTCTGTTCAAAAATAGTTAACATTAGGCTGTATTCCTTAACAGAATGTTACGTTGTTTGCCAGCTAGCTAAAAAGTCAGTTAGCTTGCCTAACGTTACTCATGATGGCTCATCAGAGAGGCTCTAATTTCTTCTCCTGTGCGAAAAATTTAATGGCCAAATGATAGAAGATTTTTAAAAAATGGATAACAGCACAGCAAGGAAAAAGAGTCTGCCTGGCAGCAACTGGCAGACAGTTTTAACTTTTCTGTCCTTCACTGCCATGTTGAACAGTTGGTCCACTCTTCCTGTTTAGCTCCGCAACAGTTTCCTTGCTGAACTAGAATCTTGAGAGGAATACAGCAGCAATATAAAACTCAGTTGGGTTGAGTCGATTTCTTAGCTTCCCTTATGGAACTAGATTATTTTGCTTAGTCGGTGTCCAAAAGGCAGCCATTTTAGAGGTAAACCTCCTCAAGTGTAGGTTTAAAGTTCATACTTGATCACATTTTAAATTGGAGGTTAAAGTTTTGGTGCAACAGAATTAAATTTGATCTAGGTTTCGAGTAAAAACTTATCTCATCTATAAGGAGAGGTTTAAATTGGATCCATCTTCATTGTAAGATAGCTCCCAAGTTTGATGCAACATTATTTAAGTTAAACTACTATTTAATTCGGTTTAAAAATGAATCCTCATTGGTGCCACCCAGCCTAAATTCAAGTTTCAGGGGTATCCTTGGCATAGTTTACATAGTTGGTAGGTTAGCATAGTAAGCCTCTTTGCTTCTTCCTCTGGTGAGTATAGACAGTGCAGCAAACTGGGGATTAGCATTGCAAGACTGTATCTCGGAGCCTCAGTCCCCAGAAAGGCAGGGAAGATACTTTGCTGACTTTTCTCAGCACTAAATTCATGTTGATGACACGATTATAACAATCTTTACAGTGATGACACCAAAAGGCAAACAGTATATGTGCTTTAACAAATGCTATCAAACACAACGTTCAATGAGACTTCCCAACTTTTGTCTCCCTGGGCATGCTGGAGCAGAGTTGGTGAATTTGCCCATGTCTCTTTCGGGTGTAGGTCTACAACAGCCAGTCGTACTGCAGGGACCACGAGGGAACGAGGAAGGGACAGCAGTCAGCAGACAACAACGGGTCAGACAGAAAAGAGGAGAGGGAGGAAGAGAAGAAGAATGAGGAGGAAGCGCAGTCGTGCTCCAGGAATAAGCACCCTCCTGAAGTTTGGATCTCTGAGAGAGGGTGAGTATGAACTAGTGACAGCTCAGCACTATGCAAGATGCAAAATTAAATGACATTAGGGTTACTGATGACATGCTGTCTATATTTACAGTGTTAAGTCAGTCATAACTAACAGTGTTGAGGGCTTACGTCACATATTGTGGTATGTTGTGGAAACCGTTGGTCTGTCCACCATGTTGGAGGGGCCAAGGGTTGGCCGTCTGCACCAACAGAGCCCGTCTGTTGAGGGGCTGAAGCCAGGAAACTACCTAGCTTCCTTTGCGCTTGCGGAGATTCATTTACACAGACCGTCACAGCCACTCACATGGAGCGACAGCAAGTTCATACTCTTACACTGACACTAATGGAATGAGCGGAAGATATACTGAACATACGTGCACATACATAACATCGGTCATTTAAAGGGAGCCATACTGAATGGGATTGGGTAGATGCAGACAAGCTGTGTAAAAGAAAGATGATGATGTAACTGAACACAGTCCGTCACTGTAAATGGGCAAAAGTCTTATTTTTTCTTTCATTGCTGTAGAAAATACTTGCCTCTGATTGGCTGGCTGTGTCTTTTAAATCTGTATAACATAACACCTCTAATAAACACCCAACCTACAGTTTAACCACCGCTCTAAATCAGTTTGCAGTACAGTACATTTAATGGTATCTTAAAACGCAAGTAACCATAGCAACCATACTTCTGCTTAATGCTGTATTGCCAGATAATAACTCTCACTGAAATGGACCTAACAATGTGTTCAAACTATTTATGGCCAACACAGCCTGCTCTACTTTGTGCTTTTTGCCCCAGACTCACAGTTCAGGACCCCTCGCTGTATATCTCTCGCCTTTTTTGTTATTCGAGCAAATTTAATTCAATGGCCGACCCTCAAGTTAAGTAAAAGGCATTATGCAAACATGTATGGTGTGAATTCATGTGGACACAGTTCTGTTATTGCTTTGTCTGCACACGCACACGTCTTCTCAAATTAATTTGCACCAAGGTTAAACCAGACACGCTCAGTACTTCTGATACCCATCAGAAATAAACACTGCTGCGATGCAGGCGAGTGCAGAGAGGTGCCATCTGTGTGTCTCTTTTTGGTTTGGGAGTGTGTCTGTGAACAAATCCCTGTTGTGACTCATGTTGACGCTCCTCACAGCCTTCCTAAAAGAGTGAGTCATCCTCACGCCTGCTCGCTTTCTCCCTCGCTGTCTGTTCAGTCTGTCTGTGGGACAAAAAGACCAAACTGAGGCTGCAAACTAGTCGAACATTGCCTTTTTTTTGTTGTTGTTGCAGAGGGGGAAGGCAAGGGCACCTAGCCTTAAATCTTGGGTGTGAATAGGTGTTGCATGAAAAGCCAGTGAATATGGCTGATTTATAGTGTAGTATATGAGGTATAGTGTCGTAGCATGACGGAAAAACTGTTTCTCTTTCATTAACTTGAAAGTTTTCAAGACTAAAAACCACCGTTTATGATACCTGCCTAGTTTATCCAGCCGTGAAGCCTGTAGTGAAAATAGAAAAAAGAGCCGATTATAATCAGAATGATTGTTTGTCGTAGGAATGTGTTTTCACTTTCTGTGTTTTTTCATGCTTATTTGGAGCAGCAGCTGGTCTGGGCCAGGGTTTCCCTCCCTCTTCAGACTGTTTTTATTGGCCCGACTGCAGCAGACCCTGGACCTTGGGCCACATCGTAGGCTCCCCCTTGTTTGGACTCGGTGGTGGTGTGAGCTGTGATGGGGTTACAAGGCAGTGGGAGGGTGGGGGTCTGGTTTTGGCTTATGAAAGCTGCTTTCATGAAGCTGAAGTGGGTGCCTCGCTGAGGGACCCTCAGTGTACATGGAGGGGTGGACCCCGGGCCCAGCTGCCACAGTGTGAGTTCACTGTGTGAGTTCACTGTGTAGTTAAGGCCAAACAGATAGCGCACTTACACTGGATAAATACAGGCACTAAAAAGCTGCTTACAGGTGCTAAAGGGCCTGCAGCCTGTCTGTCAGCTCCAGTTACACTCATATTGATTGTGACTATCATCCCAAGAGGAGCAGCATCAATAGACAACTGACAGGGGAAAGCTCTGAGGACGAAACTGAAACCTCTTGCTTTCTTCACACCTACAGATCAAACGGGAAGCATGCTATCACACATGGTGTAGGTGGAGGCAAGTGCCAATGTGAGGACTGTGGATTCCACCCAAAGAATACCAGTACACTGCAGAAATGCACCCGTCACATCACAGAACCCCCACCATATAACTGCAAACAGTGTAACCTTTCTCTTAAAGCCAAAGGTAAGGAGAGGATTTTGTTTGTTTGTTTGTGAGTTTATGAGGTCTGTCTTAACTCTGCATCCATTATGAGCTCAGCCTTTGTTTCATATTTTATAGGAAGCCTCATCGAACACCTGAGATCTGAGGCACATGGAAAAGACACCTGTTGTTACCCAGATGGCACAGAGTAGGGTATGTTATGTTATTTATTTTTATGAGGTTGTTTTTATGCAGCTAAAAGTGCCAGTGCTGATGGGTTTCTTTGCAACCCAGTCGCCAGAATAACTGTTGGTAGGGTACATTTCTGCAAAGCAAGGATATGTTACATTTGTACGTTATGTAGATAATAGATTGAAACTTTACTTTTCAATAACACGTTAGGTTTAGGCACAAAAACAACTTGGCTAGGGTTTGGACAGGATCATGTTATGGCTTAAAATGCCCACCTTTGGTCGCACAGTCCCAGCAGAAAACACAGCTATGTCTGTAAAAACGTGGCACTATCCCCCCTGGTAGCACAGTGAAAATACACCCATGTTTGGTGGATAAAAACTGCTGGAAACGCAGCAATGACTCTCTAAGAAACAACCAGTTGTGTCGTTTGTTGGCCTCAAACAGTGGTCTGCAGCTTGGCAGGCATTTCGCCAAGGTGGCACATCATCCTCCTTTCCCTCCACCTCCAGGTGACAAAGTCAGCCCATATACTACGTCAGTTGAGAGACGTTAATATGACATATATGAAAAATGTAGAGTGTCCGTGGTTTGCAGAAATCTACAAAGCCAACATTTTCTCCTTGTGACTGGGCTGTGTTTTTGGATTGGATGTACTATTATTCTTTTTTTCTCTGCCGCTGCTCGTTTTGAAAACTAAAAACTTACAAAATTATTGTTAAAACATGTTCACTGAATATTTAAGTCCAACTGAAATCAAACTACCTTTTGTTTTTGTTTCTAATACCAAGCTACCTTGTAAATTACATGTCTTATGCTCTCTTTGTTGTGCTAGTTTTGGCTTATTAGCTCATCATTAGCATCCACGTTAACTTCATAGCATGTTAGCTTTCTGGCTAATAAGTCCTTATCTTTGATTGTGGACATTTCAGAAAAGGTTGTGTTATACCTTGGTTCGTTGATAGATTGATTTCAGTTGGACTTCAGGGGTTTTATGCAAAATTTAGAGCGTACGAGCTGCCTGAGCACAGTTCTTAACATGCTAACAGCTAACAGTGCTAACTGTTACTGGGGGGAAACCAGGTGCAGTGTCCGAATATACGGAACTGCGAGCAGACCTCCACAGACTGATGATGCAAAGGTAGCCTGGGAGGAGGTCACCACAATTGTAAATCAATGTTGCGTTTCTCTCGTGCGCGCGCGCTCTCTCTTTCTCTCTCGCAGTCTCACTCTGTTTCTTTTCTTTTGACTTTTCTAAGATGACAGATGCTGAATATACAGTACAGGCCAAAAGTTTGGACACACCTTCTCATTCAATGCGTTTTCTTTATTTTCATGACTATTTACATTGTAGATTCTCACTGAAGGCATCAAAACTATGAATGAACACATGTGGAGTTATGTACTTAACAAAAAAAGGTGAAATAACTGAAAACATGTTTTATATTCTAGTTTCTTCAAAATAGCCACCCTTTGCTCTGATTACTGCTTTGCACACTCTTGGCATTCTCTCCATGAGCTTCAAGAGGTAGTCACCTGAAATGGTTT